TGTGTGTCCGGAGAAAGGGCCCAGTTGTCAGCAAAGCTGTTTTTGAGCAACGGGGTGAAAAGGTCAAATTTTTAAAGTCCTTACTGGTCAAAAATTTAGTTCCATCATAAAATACGTTGAAACATTTATTCTAAATAACATACTGAAAGGATTTTATAACATTTAATATTTTTTAATTAATTATTTTTGGAATAATATCTTGTTCTTCACCAACAGTTTAAAATGTGCTAGGCATGTGAGCAATTTAACATACAACTAAGGTTAAATGTTTCAGATCAAACATATATTGGGAGGCTCTTGTGGCCTACAGGTTCAGATGTTAGCCTCTCACAATGGTCATCACGGGCGCCATAACTGTCATTTTCTATGCCTATAGCGCCCTAAAACATCTAGATCTACTATGCCATGCTAAACAGAAAAGGATATTCAACAGTGTAACCTGACCTATAAATCGCTATTGGGGACAACCCAAGCGATGACGACACTGGTAGCGAGTTTGGCGGCACATTAATATTAATAATATAAGCCGGCACATCTCAAAATGTGCTCCTGCCGAATAGTACCGAAACATAGCCCACAGTAGGCAGTCTAAAAATAAACACGATAGACCCAACGCTATTCTTTGCCAATGTTATGTGAACCCCGGAGCAATCCAGCGGAGTGCTCAAGTGAATTGTGATTGGTTCATTGTTTGTCTTGCCACTAGGCCTATTTTAAGTGACTCTGTAAACGTGAACCTGAGGGAGGTGAACGTGATCGTCCTATGAGTTGTGCCTTTGAATGGTTTTGTAGTGGAGTAGTGAAAGTTATTACTTGTACTTAAGTGTTCAGTTCCAATACAGGATGAACGAAATTGATGTTTAGCTAACAAACAAATGTAGTACTAGAAATTAAAACGACAAGTAAAAAGAATGAAAATAAAAGCACGAGGCCTTCCCATTCCAACCCAAAGATCCTAAAATTATACACCGTCTCATTTACTATGCCCTTGACAATCTTCAACATGCGATAGCTTAATTATTATTGTGCACGTCCACTTTTTAGCCCCACGAGCCGCCCCTGTCTGTCGTCTACTTTCGTCTCCTAAAACTTAAGTCTATTCTTGGTCTTTCGAATCCCTACGCACCATATCTGTTATCTATTCAGACTTTCCTTGTTAGTTGGTCGACTGGGTCTACCCCTGCCTCGTTAATTTACATTTACTCTTACAGTGGTAATCTTTCATGTCATTTTGAGATTTTTCTACCTTTCTTGTATCCCCCAAGTTTGAAGAAAATTAGATAAAACAACACGGTTCAATTTTCATGTAAATAAATCTTAGCTTTTTTGTTGTTGATGTTGTTGTTGTTGTTGTTGTTGTTGTGTGTGTGTGTGTGTGTGTGTGTGTGTGTGTGATTTGAGCAACCATTTAAAGGCAAAAAAACATCGGACCCAACTATTGGTCTCCATAAAGGTGGTCGTCGCTCGATCACTGTAGGAGAATACGTACGTCAAATAATGCTGGTGTGAACTGCAGTAACGTGGTGCTCCCAGACAGACAGACAGACAGACAGACAGACAGACAGACAGACAGACAGACAGGCAGACAGACAGACAGACAGACAGACAGACAGACAGACAGACAGACAGGCGGACAAGAAGAAT